TTTGTCATGTCTTTGTGATGGTGTGTTTGTTGTATGTTTCTCTGTCATGGGACTACGGATGGATCTTATCTTCCATGGCTAACTCTGGCACATTTCTGCACTGTCCCCATTCAAATAACGATTTAAAACAATACATAATAAAAGGCTAAGGCCAATGGAAGACTTTAAAGCTGGTTTTGAAACTTAAATCAGGAAGAGAGACCGTAGAATGCATTGGTTCACTGCAAAAAGTGATTAAAAATAAATCATATAAAACAGATCAGGTTAAATCTGGTTTTAACACAGTCACAATGTGGACAGATTAGGGTCAAAACTACTCCATTCAAGCAACTTTTACCTCATATTTTATCATTTTTTGTAGTTTTATAGGTTGCTGGTCATGTCCCTGTTGTATATGACTTAACCTTTTCAAACCTAGTCTCTGTAGTGACAAACACAGACCAGATGTGATGAAACTACGGCTGGGCGAAAAGAGAGATCAAGACAAGGAAATGTATTTCTTGAGCCGATCATTTCTATTTCTATGGTTCTTATAAAAACAGACAGCTGTAAACTGAGATCTCTTTAGTGTCTTCAGCCTCTCGGACGGCTGCTGCCACAAGATGTCTATCTCTGTGGTTTTGTCCATCATTTAGATTAAAATCAAAATAAAGTATATCTAACAAAGTACTTCTTCTTCTTCTAAATGCAGACTGTGCCACGTGTCATTCCCACTCTTCTATAACCCACTCTGGGACCAATATAGGATCCAGTAATCTTAATCTTAATCTTAATCCCAGATGGTGTATGAAGGGTGCTTGTTCTTTTTCCAAATTAAAATTCCAGACTTTTAAAAAACTGATATGTATTTTTTCCCCTTAAATTTGAAAACAAGCAACGACCCATTTCTGTTGCCCACTCGGCTCGCTACGTGTCCATAGACCTCAGCAGTGACATCACCAACATGTGCCAGACCAGACCAGGCTAAGCTAGCAGTGGTTGGATCATCCAGGCTAATACAGCACGAGACCAGTTTGTACAGTTATAGTTTTAAAGCCTACCTTACGATTTCTCAGTCCACGAAGCTATTGAGCGCACTGTAAAATTTTACCATACATTCTTTACCCAAACTTTATTAAGACTTTCACACAAAATTCAAGACTTTTCAAGGTCTGGAAAACAGTGTTCCAAAATTCCATACTCATTAAGACTTTCAAGACCCTGTGTGTAGTTATCTGATGGCACTGACCTGAGTCTGTAGAGCCCCCTGTGTGTAGTTATCTGATGGCACTGACCTGAGTCTGTAGAGCACCCTGTGTGTAGTTATCTGATGGCACTGACCTGAGTCTGTAGAGCACCCTGTGTGTAGTTATCTGATGGCACTGACCTGAGTCTGTAGAGCTCTCTGTGTGTAGTTATCTGATGGCACTGACCTGAGTCTGTAGAGCACCCTGTGTGTAGTTATCTGATGGCACTGACCTGAGTCTGTAGAGCACCCTGTGTGTAGTTATCTGATGGCACTGACCTGAGTCTGTAGAGCTCTCTGTGTGTAGTTATCTGATGGCACTGACCTGAGTCCGTAGAGCTCTCTGTGTGTAGTTATCTGATGGCACTGACCTGAGTCCGTAGAGCTCTCTGTGTGTAGTTATCTGATGGTACTGACCTGAGTCTGTAGAGCTCTCTGTGTGTAGTTATCTGATGGCACTGACCTGAGTCCGTAGAGCTCTCTGTGTGTAGTTATCTGATGGCACTGACCTGAGTCTGTAGAGCACCCTGTGTGTAGTTATCTGATGGCACTGACCTGAGTCTGTAGAGCACCCTGTGTGTAGTTATCTGATGGCACTGACCTGAGTCTGTAGAGCACCCTGTGTGTAGTTATCTGATGGCACTGACCTGAGTCTGTAGAGCACCCTGTGTGTAGTTATCTGATGGCACTGACCTGAGTCTGTAGAGCACTCTGTGTGTAGTTATCTGATGGCACTGACCTGAGTCCGTAGAGCTCTCTGTGTGTAGTTATCTGATGGCACTGACCTGAGTCTGTAGAGCTCTCTGTGTGTAGTTATCTGATGGCACTGACCTGAGTCTGTAGAGCACCCTGTGTGTAGTTATCTGATGGCACTGACCTGAGTCTGTAGAGCACCCTGTGTGTAGTTATCTGATGGCACTGACCTGAGTCCGTAGAGCTCTCTGTGTGTAGTTATCTGATGGCACTGACCTGAGTCCGTAGAGCTCTCTGTGTGTAGTTATCTGAAGGCACTGACCTGAGTCCGTAGAGCTCTCTGTGTGTAGTTATCTGATGGCACTGACCTGAGTCAGTAGAGCTCTCTGTGTGTAGTTATCTGATGGCACTGACCTGAGTCTGTAGAGCACCCTGTGTGTAGTTATCTGATGGCACTGACCTGAGTCTGTAGAGCACCCTGTGTGTAGTTATCTGATGGCACTGACCTGAGTCCGTAGAGCTCTCTGTGTGTAGTTATCTGATGGCACTGACCTGAGTCCGTAGAGCTCTCTGTGTGTAGTTATCTGATGGCACTGACCTGAGTCTGTAGAGCTCTCTGTGTGTAGTTATCTGATGGTACTGACATGAGTCTGTAGAGCTCTCTGTGTGTAGTTATCTGATGGTACTGACATGAGTCCGTAGAGCTCTCTGTGTGTAGTTATCTGATGGCACTGACCTGAGTCTGTAGAGCTCTCTGTGTGTAGTTATCTGATGGTACTGACCTGAGTCTGTAGAGCTCTCTGTGTGTAGTTATCTGATGGTACTGACATGAGTCTGTAGAGCTCTCTGTGTGTAGTTATCTGATGGCACTGACCTGAGTCCGTAGAGCTCTCTGTGTGTAGTTATCTGATGGCACTGACCTGAGTCTGTAGAGCTCTCTGTGTGTAGTTATCTGATGGTACTGACCTGAGTCCGTAGAGCTCTCTGTGTGTAGTTATCTGAAGGCACTGACCTGAGTCCGTAGAGCTCTCTGTGTGTAGTTATCTGATGGTACTGACCTGAGTCCGTAGAGCTCTCTGTGTGTAGTTATCTGAAGGCACTGACCTGAGTCCGTAGAGCTCTCTGTGTGTAGTTATCTGAAGGTACTGACCTGAGTCCGTAGAGCACCCTGTCTGTAGTTATCTGATGGTACTGACCTGAGTCCGTAGAGCTCTCTGTGTGTAGTTATCTGAAGGTACTGACCTGAGTCCGTAGAGCACCCTGTGTGTAGTTATCTGATGGTACTGACCTGAGTCTGTAGAGCACCCTGTGTGTAGTTATCTGATGGTACTGACCTGAGTCCGTAGAGCACCCTGTCTGTAGTTATCTGATGGTACTGACCTGAGTCTGTAGAGCTCTCTGTGTGTAGTTATCTGATGGCACTGACCTGAGTCCGTAGAGCACCCTGTGTGTAGTTATCTGATGGTACTGACCTGAGTCTGTAGAGCACCCTGTCTGTAGTTATCTGATGGTACTGACCTGAGTCCGTAGAGCACCCTGTGTGTAGTTATCTGATGGCACTGACCTGAGTCCGTAGAGCACCCTGTGTGTAGTTATCTGAAGGCACTGACCTGAGTCTGTAGAGCACCCTGTGTGTAATTATCTGATGGTACTGACCTGAGTCTGTAGAGCACCCTGTGTGTAGTTATCTGATGGTACTGACCTGAGTCCGTAGAGCACCCTGTCTGTAGTTATCTGATGGTACTGACCTGAGTCTGTAGAGCTCTCTGTGTGTAGTTATCTGATGGCACTGACCTGAGTCCGTAGAGCACCCTGTGTGTAGTTATCTGATGGCACTGACCTGAGTCTGTAGAGCACCCTGTGTGTAGTTATCTGATGGTACTGACCTGAGTCCGTAGAGCACCCTGTCTGTAGTTATCTGATGGTACTGACCTGAGTCCGTAGAGCACCCTGTGTGTAGTTATCTGATGGCACTGACCTGAGTCTGTAGAGCACCCTGTGTGTAGTTATCTGATGGTACTGACCTGAGTCCGTAGAGCACCCTGTCTGTAGTTATCTGATGGTACTGACCTGAGTCTGTAGAGCACCCTGTGTGTAGTTATCTGATGGTACTGACCTGAGTCCGTAGAGCTCTCTGTGTGTAGTTATCTGATGGTACTGACCTGAGTCCGTAGAGCTCTCTGTGTGTAGTTATCTGAAGGCACTGACCTGAGTCTGTAGAGCTCTCTGTGTGTAGTTAACTGATGGCACTGACCTGAGTCTGTAGAGCACCCTGTCTGTAGTTATCTGATGGTACTGACCTGAGTCCGTAGAGCTCTCTGTGTGTAGTTATCTGATGGCACTGACCTGAGTCTGTAGAGCTCTCTGTGTGTAGTTATCTGAAGGCACTGACCTGAGTCCGTAGAGCTCTCTGTGTGTAGTTATCTGAAGGTACTGACCTGAGTCTGTAGAGCTCTCTGTGTGTAGTTATCTGAAGGCACTGACCTGAGTCCGTAGAGCTCTCTGTGTGTAGTTATCTGAAGGTACTGACCTGAGTCTGTAGAGCTCTCTGTGTGTAGTTATCTGAAGGCACTGACCTGAGTCCGTAGAGCTCTCTGTGTGTAGTTATCTGATGGTACTGACCTGAGTCCGTAGAGCTCTCTGTGTGTAGTTATCTGATGGCACTGACCTGAGTCCGTAGAGCTCTCTGTGTGTAGTTATCTGATGGCACTGACCTGAGTCCGTAGAGCTCTCTGTGTGTAGTTATCTGAAGGCACTGACCTGAGTCCGTAGAGCTCTCTGTGTGTAGTTATCTGATGGTACTGACCTGAGTCCGTAGAGCTCTCTGTGTGTAGTTATCTGATGGCACTGACCTGAGTCCGTAGAGCTCTCTGTGTGTAGTTATCTGATGGCACTGACCTGAGTCCGTAGAGCTCTCTGTGTGTAGTTATCTGATGGCACTGACCTGAGTCCGTAGAGCTCTCTGTGTGTAGTTATCTGATGGCACTGACCTGAGTCCGTAGAGCTCTCTGTGTGTAGTTATCTGATGGCACTGACCTGAGTCCGTAGAGCACCCTGTCTGTAGTTATCTGATGGTACTGACCTGAGTCCGTAGAGCACCGTTCCGTCCGGATGCAGCCGGATCATGCGGTTCTTCACCGTGACTCCGTGGACGAAGGACTTCTTGTCGTTGAGGAAGTACGTGTCCGGGACCCAGAGCTGGTCCGCCACACGGTTATCCAGGGTCAGGTTCAGAGGGATCCCCATGTAGGCCAGCCGCTTGTCCCGCCAGTACTGCTGGAAGTACATGGTCAGGGTGTAGTCCTGCAGAGAGAGGGGGGGGAGAGGGGGGGGAGAGGGGGGAGAGGGGGGTTAAAGATACATCACAAAAACTGCTGGAAGTACATGGTCAGGGTGTAGTCCTGCAGAGAGAGGGGGGAGGCGGGGGAGAGGGGGGAGGCTGGGGGAGAGGGGAGAGAGGGGAGAGAGGGGGGAGAGAGGGGTGAGAGAGGGGGGAGGCTGGGGTAGAGGGGAGAGAGGGGAGAGAGGCGGGGGAGAGGGGGGAGGCTGGGGTAGAGGGGAGAGAGGGGAGAGAGGGGGGAGAGAGAGGGGAGGCACACACGCTTCATTGGAGCCAAAATGCCTGGTTTAGGGAGACCCTCCCCCAGCTTCCGCACATTATAAGGTTTTGTCAAAAGGATTTAAAATATTGGTGATTCCGTTCCATTTTCTTCCGCTTCATCAGACCAGAGAGAGACCAGAGAGAGACTAGAGTGGGAGACCAGAGAGAGAGACCAGAGAGAGACTAGAGAGAGAGACCAGAGAGAGAGACCAGAGAGAGAGACCAGAGAGAGAGACCAGAAAAACACTGCACATGAAGTTAGCAATCAGCTGATATTTTTGCTTCAAGCCTCGTCTCTCTCTGCCCTCTCTCTCTCTCTGCTCTCTCTCTCTGCTCTCTCTCGCTCACTGGCCTCTCTCTCTGCTCTCTTTCTCAGGTCTCTCTCTGGTCTCTCTCTGGTCTCTCTCTGGTCTTTCTCTGGTCTCTCTCTGGTCTTTCTCTGGTCTCTCTCTGGTCTCTCTCTGGTCTCTCTCTCTGGTCTCTCTCTGGTCTCTCTCTCTGGTCTTTCTCTGGTCTCTCTCTCTGGTCTCTCTCTGGTCTCTCTCTCTGGTCTCACACACGTCCACACACGCTTCATTGGAGCCAAAATGCCTGGTTTAGGGAGACCCTCCCCCAGCTTCCGCACATTATAAGGTTTTGTCAAAAGGATTTAAAATATTGGTGATTCCGTTCCATTTTCTTCCGCTTCATCAGACCAGAGAGAGACCAGAGAGAGACTAGAGTGGGAGACCAGAGAGAGAGACCAGAGAGAGACTAGAGAGAGAGACCAGAGAGAGAGACCAGAGAGAGAGACCAGAGAGAGAGACCAGAAAAACACTGCACATGAAGTTAGCAATCAGCTGATATTTTTGCTTCAAGCCTCGTCTCTCTCTGCCCTCTCTCTCTCTCTGCTCTCTCTCTCTGCTCTCTCTCGCTCACTGGCCTCTCTCTCTGGTCTCTCCCTCTCTCTGCTCTCTTTCTCAGGTCTCTCTCTGGTCTCTCTCTGGTCTCTCTCTGGTCTTTCTCTGGTCTCTCTCTGGTCTTTCTCTGGTCTCTCTCTGGTCTCTCTCTGGTCTCTCTCTCTGGTCTCTCTCTGGTCTCTCTCTCTGGTCTTTCTCTGGTCTCTCTCTCTGGTCTCTCTCTGGTCTCTCTCTCTGGTCTCACACGTCCACACACGCTTCATTGGAGCCAAAATGCCTGGTTTAGGGAGACCCTCCCCCAGCTTCCGCACATTATAAGGTTTTGTCAAAAGGATTTAAAATATTGGTGATTCCGTTCCATTTTCTTCCGCTTCATCAGACCAGAGAGAGACCAGAGAGAGACTAGAGTGGGAGACCAGAGAGAGAGACCAGAGAGAGACTAGAGAGAGAGACCAGAGAGAGAGACCAGAGAGAGAGACCAGAGAGAGAGACCAGAGAGAGGCCAGAGAGAGAGACCAGAGAGAGAGACCAGAGAGAGACTAGAGTGAGAGACCAGAGAGAGACTAGAGTGAGACTAGAGTGAGACCAGAGAAAGAGACCAGAGAAAGAGACCAGAGAGAGACCAGAGAGAGACCAGAGAGAGACCAGAGAGAGACCAGAGAGAGACCATGGAATCACTCAGGGTGTGCAAATGAGTAAACATGGTAACATGTTTTGAAAAATACTTGATGGTTCCAGTCCGAGAGGCTGGTGAGTCATGATCCTGGACTCTGTGGAGGTCTCTCTCTCTGGTATCTCTCTCTCTCGCTGGTATCTCTCTCTCTCTCTGGTATCTCTCTCTCTCGCTGGTATCTCTCTCTCTCTGGTATCTCTCTCTCTCTCTAGTATCTCTCTCTCTCTCTGGTATCTCTCTCTCTCTCTGGTATCTCTCCCTCTCTCTGGTATCTCTCTCTCTCTCTGGTACCTCTCTCGCTGGTATCTCTCTCTCTCGCTGGTATCTCTCTCTCTCTCTGGTACCTCTCTCTCGCTGGTATCTCTCTCTGGTATCTCTCTCTCTCTCTCTGGGACCTCTCTCTCGCTGGTATCTCTCTCTCTCTCTGGTATCTCTCTCTCTCTCGCTGGTATCTCTCTCTCTCGCTGGTATCTCTCTCTCTCTCTGGTATCTCTCTCTCTCTCGCTGGTATCTCTCTCTCTCGCTGGTATCTCTCTCTCTCTCTGGTATCTCTCTCTCTCTCTCTGGGACCTCTCTCTCTCTGGGACCTCTCTCTCGCTGGTACCTCTCTCTCGCTGGTATCTCTCTCTCTCGCTGGTATCTCTCTCTCGCTGGTATCTCTGCACTGGTCCCTTTGAACATATGTTGCTGGTAGAGTCTGAATCATTCTGAATCATTACTAATGTGTCGTGTTGATGTCAAAACAACATTCGCAGCCAACTTGAATCACGGCTAATGCTACACTGCAAAAAATGATCCAATATGATTCAAAAAGATGTTTTTATCTTAATCTGACACATTCTGACGGTGATAAAACTAGATTCTCATTTAGTCTGATTTTAACAACTATCGCTTCATTTTGCTTTGTCCCGTCGGAAAATCTTGTCAGACTGTGATCAAAATAAAGATACATTTTTCAGCCATTTTTAACTTATCTTTCATGACTTTTGGCAACGAGAGAAAAACACTGCACATGAAGTTAGCAATCAGCTGATATTTTTGCTTCAAGCCTCGTCTCTCTCTGCCCTCTCTCTCTCTCTGCTCTCTCTCTCTGCTCTCTCTCGCTCACTGGCCTCTCTCTCTGGTCTCTCCCTCTCTCTGCTCTCTTTCTCAGGTCTCTCTCTGGTCTCTCTCTGGTCTCTCTCTGGTCTTTCTCTGGTCTCTCTCTGGTCTTTCTCTGGTCTCTCTCTGGTCTCTCTCTGGTCTCTCTCTCTGGTCTCTCTCTGGTCTCTCTCTCTGGTCTTTCTCTGGTCTCTCTCTCTGGTCTCTCTCTGGTCTCTCTCTCTGGTCTCTCTCTGGTCTCTCTCTCTGGTCTCTCTCTGGTCTCTCTCTGGTCTTTCTCTGGTCTCTCTCTGGTCTCTCTCTGGTCTCTCTCTGGTCTCTCTCTGGTCTCTCTCTGGTCTCTCTCTGGTCTCGCTCTGGTCTCGCTCTCTGGTCTCTCTCTGGTCTCTCTCTGGTCTCGCTCTGGTCTCGCTCTCTGGTCTCTCTCTGGTCTCTCTCTGGTCTCTCTCTCTGGTCTTTCTCTGGTCTCTCTCTGGTCTCTCTCTCTGGTCTCTCTCTGGTCTCTCTCTAGTCTCTCTCTGGTCTCTCTCTCTGGTCTCTCTCTGGTCTCTCTCTAGTCTCTCTCTGGTCTCTCTCTCTCTCTGCCCCCCCCCCCCCCCCCCCCATGCTACAGTACAGGTTTGTCAGACGTTGTGATGTCACATAAATATGCTAATACGCAGCTGTTTGACTCTTGTCGTTTGGAGCTAACATTAAAACACATACAGAGCTGTTTTTGACCTTTCTTCCATCCCATGTTTGTCCTTCTGCCCCAGCGTCTCTTCTCTGTCTCCTCCCGCCCTCTCACCTCCTGCTCGCTGAGGTGTGGAAATCAAACCATCGCACCTCACGCTGGTCCTGGCTCTGGCTCAAGCCGACACCAAAACACCAGAAACAAACAGACCATAAAGCGTCCGCTCAGCAAGATCCGAGTCCCAAAAGTTCAAGTGTGCCCAACATTACGTCATTCTGTTTCTCCCATTTTGCAGAAATGAAAAAGTGTGTTTTTAAAAGCAACATTCTGGCTAAAAATAGACGTATTCAGATTCTATGAATAGGTTCGCATTGTTTTTCCAACATGAAGCTCTGGTCTCGTTTTGGTCTCTATGGGTGCAATAAAAGGAAAAAGTCACACTTCAAATGAGACCATCCAAAAATAGATCTCTCTCTTTCTCTCTCTCTCTAGTCTCTCTCACTGTACTCACTGGTCTCTCTCTCTCGCCTCTGGTCTCTCTCTCTGGCCTCTCTCGCTGGCCTCTGGTCTCTCTCTCTGGTCTCTCTCACTGGCCTCTGGTCTCTCTCTCTGGTCTCTCTCACTGGCCTCTGGTCTCTCTCTCTGGCCTCTCTCGCTGGTCTCTCTCACTGGCCTCTGGTCTCTCTCACTGGCCTCTGGTCTCTCTCTCTCTGGTCTCTCTCTCTGGCCTCTCTCGCTGGCCTCTGGTCTCTCTCTCTCTGGTCTCTCTCTCTGGCCTCTCTCGCTGGCCTCCGGTCTCTCTCGCTGGCCTCTGGTCTCTCTCTCTGGCCTCTCTCGCTGGCCTCTGGTCTCTCTCTCTGGCCTCTCTCGCTGGCCTCTGGTCTCTCTCTCTGGCCTCTCTCGCTGGCCTCCGGTCTCTCTCGCTGGCCTCTGGTCTCTCTCTCTGGTCTCTCTCTCTGGCCTCTCTCGCTGGCCTCTCTCGCTGGCCTCTGGTCTCTCTCTCTGGCCTCTCTCGCTGGCCTCCGGTCTCTCTCACTGGCCTCTGGTCTCTCTCTCTGGCCTCTGGTCTCTCTCTCTGGCCTCTCTCGCTGGCCTCTCTCGCTGGTCTCTCTCGCTGGCCTCTGGTCTCTCTCTCTGGCCTCTCTCGCTGGCCTCCTCTCTGGTCTGGTCTGGTCTCTCTCGGACTGGCCTCTCTGGTCCCTCTCTGGTCCCTCTCTGGTCTCTCTCTCTCTGGACTCTCCTCTCTGGTCTCTCTCTCTGGTCTCTCTCTGGTCTCTCTCTGGTCTGGTCTCTCTCTCTCTGGCCTCTCTCGCTGGCCTCTGGTCTCTCTCTGGCCTCTCTCTCTGGCCTCTCTCTCTGGACTCTCTCTCTGGCCTCTCTCTCTGGACTTTCTCTGGTCTCTCTCTCTGGTCCTCTCTCTGGTCCCTCTCTCTGGTCCCCTCTCTCTGGTCCCTCTCTGGTCCCTCTCTGGTCCCTCTCTGGTCTCTCTCTCTGGTCTCTCTCTCTGGTCTCTCTCTCTGGTCTCTCTCTCTGGTCTCTCTCTCTGGCCTCTCTCTCTGGCCTCTCTCTCTGGTCTCTCTCTCTGGTCTCTCTCTCTGGTCTCTCTCTCTGGTCTCTCTCTCTGGTCTCTCTCTCTGGCCTCTCTCTCTGGCCTCTCTCTCTGGTCTCTCTCTCTGGACTCTCTCTGGACTCTCTCTGGACTCTCTCTGGTCTCTCTCTGGTCCCTCTCTGGTCCCTCTCTGGTCTCTCTCTCTCTGGACTCTCTCTCTGGTCTCTCTCTCTGGTCTCTCTCTCTGGTCTCTCTCTGGTCTCTCTCTCTGGTCTCTCTCTCTGGTCTCTCGCTCTGGTCTCTCTCTCTGGTCTCTCTCTCTGGTCTCTCTCTCTGGTCTCCCGCTCTGGTCTCTCCCGCTCTGGTCTCTCCCGCTCTGGTCTCTCCCGCTCTGGTCTCTCCCGCTCTGGTCTCTCCCGCTCTGGTCTCTCCCGCTCTGGTCTCTCCCTCTCTGGTCTCTCTCTATGGTCCCTCTGGTCTCTCTCTATGGTCTCTCGCTGGTATCTCTCTTTCTGGTCTCTCGCTGGTGTCTCTCTCTGGTCTCTCTCTCTGGTCTCTCTCTCTGGTCTCTCTCTCTGGTCTCTCTCTCTGGTCTCTCTCTCCGGTCTCTCTCTCCGGTCTCTCTCTGGTCTCTCTCCGGTCTCTCTCCGGTCTCTCTCTCTGGTCTCTCTCTCTGGTCTCTCTCTGGTCTCTCTCTCTGGTCTCTCTCTCTGGTCTCTCTCTGGTCTCTCTCTCTGGTCTCTCTCTCTGGTCTCTCTCTCTGGTCTCTCTCTCTGGTCTCTCTCTAATGTGAGTGAGTCTTTTCCATGTTCAGAGTTTGTTCCCAGCATCACGCCGCTCTCTGCTTTGAGCCCGTGGAGCTTCTCATCAGTCCCTCAGTATCCAGCGTCTCCAGAGGGTCATGCTACAGTCAGCTCCCGTCACTCTCCTGCAGGGACCCAACTAAAGCCATCACAACAACTCATAAAGACCTTGCATCATTCCAAACTATATGGATCTTAGTATATTTGGAGTTGTTTCAGTGTTGATGACCAGGATTGCATCACGTCTAGTTTGTGTTGAGGCCAGTGTGTGTGTGCGTGTCGTATGCTAGTGGCTAAAGCTGCTCCGTGCACTTTCTTTGTGAAGGTTCAATCCGTGGGTTTATCGCACAAGGGGAGGTCAGTACTTCCTGTTTTTGTGTCTCTACGGCAGCAGTTTCAAACTCACTTTAGTCGTTAGAAAAAGAAAAAACTGATCGGGTCTAGGGATGTAAATCGGTGACCGTTTAACCGGTGGTTGACCGTCACAGCGTTAACCGGTCAAAGCTGTCGGTTAAAATAAGAAAAAGCGGAGAGGGGAGGTCTCTTAATAAGGCTATTAATAAGCTCTATTTGTACGATGTGACGAGCGGGTCCCTATCTAGCTGTGTGCGCCAATGCATTAGTAGACTACGGGCGACTTTCATGGCGCACGCTCCACATATGCACGCAGCCACGCACACGCGCACGCACACACACACACAAACACTTTCCCCCCCTCCATACGTAACATCCACACGCATCATCTCTCCCCTCTGTTACCGCCAAAGTTCCACACTAGTGCAGGTCAGAACTACATTGGAGCTTACATTTACACACACACACATACATGTATTGCACACACACACACACATGTATTGTACACACACACATACATGTATTGCACACACACACACACACATGTATTGTACACACACACATACCGGGCTGTCGCGCACCTCTGTGTCTCGCAGCCCAAAGAATCCTCGCAAATACGCGGCTTCAGTCAAACACATGAAACATGTTTGTGCTGCTGGTCCTTGTCATTAGATCAGATCCACACACATCACTTTTAAACTTTAGCAGAGACCTGCGAGACGCGGCTCGTCACTCGCTGCCCTGACCATGTGGACGAGCTGTCTTTTGCTTAAAAATGCTTTAACCCGCAGCACAGCAGAATGGGAAGATTAAAAAAGCAGTTCTCTGTGCGCAAAGGTGCCGAAGCTGTTGCGGGTTTTGGCGCTGCTGTCTCAGCTCTGATCTAGTAGAACGCATAGATAAACTTATGAAAAGTACGCGGCTCGAAATGGCTGCTATTTCAAAGAACGTGGAATATTTTTAACTACGCGGTTAACCGGTTTCAACCGGTTAATGAGGCTCGGTGGTCGGTCATGAAAATGCATAGTTTTTTACATCCCTAATCGGGTCAAAGTGTTGTAAGAGAATGACATTTTAGCCCAAACATCCCTCTCTTTATGCACAGATGTTGACTTCTCATTAACACCACCCATCCACCCACCCACTCACCCACCCCATCCATCCACCCACTCACCCATCCATCCACCCACCCATCCACCCACCCACTCACCCACCCCATCCATCCACCCACCCACTCACCCATCCATCCACCCACCCACTCATCCATCCACCCACCCACCCACTCACCCATCCATCCATCCACCCACCCACTCACCCATCCATCCACCCACCCACTCATCCATCCACCCACCCACTCACCCATCCATCCACCCACTCACCCATCCATCCATCCACCCACCCACTCACCCATCCATCCATCCACCCACTCATCCATCCACCCACCCACTCACCCATCCATCCACCCACCCACTCATCCATCCACCCACCCACTCACCCATCCATCCATCCACCCACCCACTCACCCATCCATCCACCCACCCACTCATCCATCCACCCACCCACTCACCCATCCATCCATCCACCCACCCACTCACCCATCCATCCATCCACCCACCCACTCACCCATCCATCCACCCACCCACTCATCCATCCACCCACCCACTCACCCCATCCATCCATCCACCCACCCACTCACCCATCCATCCACCCACCCACTCATCCATCCACCCACCCACTCACCCATCCATCCATCCACCCACCCACTCACCCATCCATCCACCCACCCACTCATCCATCCACCCACCCACTCACCCATCCATCCATCCACCCACCCACTCACCCATCCATCCACCCACCCACTCATCCATCCACCCACCCACTCACCCATCCATCCACCCACCCACTCATCCATCCACCCACCCACTCACCCACTCATCCATCCACCCACCCACTCACCCATCCATCCATCCATCCACCCACTCACCCATCCATCCATCCATCCACCCACCCACTCATCCATCCACCCACCCACTCACCCATCCATCCACCCACCCACTCATCCATCCACCCACCCACTCACCCACTCATCCATCCACCCACCCACTCACCCATCCATCCATCCATCCACCCACTCACCCATCCATCCATCCATCCACACCGAATGGTTTCTTGATCTCACAGTAAATTCAAAATATCCCCAACACAAACACACAAATCCACAGTCTACTCTACGCTGTATGTTCGTACAATCGTCAAATCCACTGCTTGCAAAAAAAAAAAAAAAATTCATCAATATTCCTTTGGCTCCTTTCATGACATAGACTCGGGAATAACCAGGTTCTTCCCGACTCCCCCCCCCCGGCTCATGGCACACGGCTTTGACTAATCTCCTTAACCACATGTAAATACGTCAGGACTAATTTGTCAGAACCTCGATACACGGCGCAGCAAAGGTCACACATGAGAGATTCATAATTTCAGTTTTTACTCAGTCTAAGACGGAAAAACAAAAGGGGGGGGGGGGCTTAATTGAGTGCGGAGTGTCTGGACCAATCGGATCGCAGAGTGATGGAAGAGGGGGAATTGGAAATGACAGGTTAGCCACGCAGCTGCATTGGAACGTGATGGAGGGAAGGCCCCAGACGCTGTGTTTCGTTGGAGGGATAATGGCTGTTACCGCGGAAACGAACCGACCCCAGCGCCCGGGCGGGATCCCCAGCGTTCCGACAAATCATCTTAACAATTTCACGCCGAGAGAAAAACGGCGACTGCATCTTCTACGGTCGTTTTGGTTGTTCTAAAAAAGCAATATTTAGAAGCAGAAGTTGGTACAAGGAATAACTAAGATTTTTGTCCCTATGTTTTTATTATTATTATTATTAGTGGTCTCCCTCCCTCTGGTCTCCTCCCTCTGGTCTCCTCCCTCTGGTCTCCTCCCTCTGGTCTCCTCCCTCTGGTCTCTCTCTGGTCTCTCTCTGGTCTCTCTCTGGTCTCTCTCTGGTCTCTCTCTGGTCTCTCTCTGGTCTCTCTCTGGTCTCTCTCTGGTCTCTCTCTGGTCTCTCTCTGGTCTCTCTCTGGTCTCTCTCTGGTCTCTCTCTGGTCTCTCTCTGGTCTTTCTCTGGTCTCTTTCTCTGGTCTCTTTCTCTGGTCTCTCTCTCTGGTCTCTCTCTCTGGTCTCTCTCTCTGGTCTCTCTCTCTGGTCTCTCTCTCTGGTCTCTCTCTCTGGTCTCTCTCTCTGGTCTCTCTCTCTGGTCACTCTCTGGTCACTCTCTGGTCTCTCTCTCTGGTCTCTCTCTGGTCTCTCTCTCTGGTCTCTCTCTCTGATCTCTCTGGTCTCTCTCTCTGGTCTCTCTCTCTGGTCTCTCTCTCTGGTCTCTCTCTCTGGTCTCTCTCTGATCTCTCTGGTCTCTCTCTCTGGTCACTCTCTGGTCTCTCTCTGGTCTCTCTCTCTGGTCTCTCTCTCTGGTCTCTCTCTCTGGTCTCTCTCTGGTCTCTCTCTCTGGTCTCTCTCTCTGGTCTCTCTCTGGTCTCTCTCTGGTCTCTCTCTGGTCTCTCTCTGGTCTCTCTCTCTGGTCTCTCTCTCTGGTCTCTCTCTGGTCTCTCTCTGGTCTCTCTCTCTGGTCTCTCTCTCTGGTCTCTCTCTCTGGTCTCTCTCTCTGGTCTCTCTCTCTGGTCTCTCTCTCTGGTCTCTCTCTCTGGTCTCTCTCTGGTCTCTCTCTGGTCTCTCTCTGGTCTCTCTCTCTGGTCTCTCTCTCTGGTCTCTCTCTCTGGTCTCTCTCTCTGGTCTCTCTCTCTGGTCTCTCTCTCTGGTCTCTCTTTCTGGTCTCTCTCTCTGGTCTCTCTCTCTGGTCTCTCTCTCTGGTCTCTCTCTCTGGTCTCTCTCTCTGGTCTCTCTCTCTGGTCTCTCTCTCTGGTCTCTCTCTGGTCTCTCTCTGATCTCTCTGGTCTCTCTCTCTGGTCTCTCTCTGGTCTCTCTCTGGTCTCTCTCTCTGGTCTCTCTCTGGTCTCTCTCTCTGATCTCTCTCTGATCTCTCTCTGATCTCTCTCTGATCTCTCTGGTCTCTCTCTCTGGTCTCTCTCTCTGGTCACTCTCTGGTCACTCTCTGGTCTCTCTCTGGTCTCTCTCTCTGGTCTCTCTCTCTGGTCTCTCTCTCTGGTCTCTCTCTGGTCTCTCTCTGGTCTCTCTCTCTGGTCTCTCTCTCTGGTCTCTCTCTCTGGTCTCTCTCTGGTCTCTCTCTGGTCTCTCTCTGGTCTCTCTCTCTGGTCTCTCTCTGGTCTCTCTCTCTCTGGTCTCTCTCTCTCTCTGGTCTCTCTCTCTGGTCTCTCTCTCTGGTCTCTCTCTCTGGTCTCTCTCTCTGGTCTCTCTCTCTGGTCTCTCTCTGGTCTCTCTCTCTGGTCTCTCTCTCTGGTCTCTCTCTCTGGTCTCTCTCTCTGGTCTCTCTCTCTGGTCTCTCTCTGGTCTCTCTCTGGTCTCTCTCTCTGGTCTCTCTCTCTGGTCTCTCTCTCTGGTCTCTCTCTCTGGTCTCTCTCTCTGGTCTCTCTCTGGTCTCTCTCTCTGGTCTCTCTCTGGTCTCTCTCTGGTCTCTCTCTGGTCTCTCTCTGGTCTCTCTCTGGCCTCCCTCTGGTCTCTCTCTGGTTCACCATTATCTACTAAATTAAAACCCATTCTAAAACATGAAAGTATGAGACTTATTATTTAATGGCCATAAATAATGATATTTCTGTGTTAAAAATGTACGTTACTGTTTCATTAAAGTCATAATAAAACAAACCTCCTGGAGCCGACTTTATGGGTTTCATTAAAGCTCATCAGAGAAAACCAAGATGGAAGACGGAGACAAGAGCAGAAAAAACTAAAGGTGCAAACTTTAGTTGGTGGAGTACAGGCTGAGGTATTTCTGGAATGTCCATCCATCCATCCATTTTCTTCCCCTTAATCCATTTCTGGGTCGGGGGGTGGCAGTCAGAGCTACACCCAGTCCACAGAGCACCAGCCCCTCACTGATCCTCCTGCAGGTGGTGAGTCCACAGGAGCTGAGATTTTTCAGTGGGAGCTTCAGGCAAAGTGGGGTTAAGTGTCTTGCCCAAGGACACAACGACAGCAGTCATCAGTGGGAGTCGTGAAGTAGGTCTTATGGTGGGCTCGAACCCACGACCTTCAGGCCCAAAGGCCAATGCTCTACCAACTGAGCTACTGATTTCTGGAATGTTAACAATAATAATGTTAATAATAATAATAGTGTTAATAATAATAATAATCATGTTAATAATGATAAATAATAATTATAACAATGTTAATTATAATAATAATGTTAATAATAATAATTAATAATAATTTTCTGTTGTGTAATTTCTGTAAAGAGTAAACAGTAAAAACAGTCAAACGAAGCGCGAGCTGTGGTAAAATCAAAGTGTTGTTTAGTAATCTGAGTAAATTAATTTACTTTTTCCCAAGATTTGCAAAAAACAGAACTTGGAACAAACAGAACTCTGCAGTTATTACGTTTTTTTTCATCAAAATCCTCAATAAAATAAAGTTTCTCTCTCTGAGTGGGTTTTACATGTTCTCCCCGTGTTTGCGTAGGTTTCCTCCAGGTGCTGCGGGGGCTGAGTCCACAGAGAACAGAACAACGGACTCTGAACTTTGTAAAGTGCTTTGGGTGAGCTTGGTCTGTAAAAGTGTGCTATATAGATAAACATTACTTATTACTATACAATGCCCTCCAAAAGATGCCAGAGAGGCCAAAATACACACGCGAGACAGAACCAACTGTTTCGAGACTTTTGGGTTGCAGCAGTTCAGGCTTAAGTGGTCTGAAAGTTAGGTACCCCAACTTTAACTATGGCCAATGTCACTTTGAAAACATAAAGATAGACCGTTTCTCCCACACGGGCCTGGTCTCCCTCCCATGCCCCTCCCCCACCTCTGCTCCGGTACGCTGCTCCCCGTGTCCGCCGTGTCAAGCGTGTCCGCCGGGTCCGTGCCCACCGTCGCCATGACGACCAGCTCCGGATCCAGGATGAAGACCTCCTCGTGGGAGAGCTCCAGCACATAGTTCAGGTGCTCCTACACAACAGAGGGAGAGTAAGTGTGTGTGTGTCAATGTGTGTGTGTGTGTGTGTGTCAGTGCGTGCGTGTGTGTGTGTGTGTGTTTAGACCCGGGAGGGAGGAATGTATGGACGGACTGCAGTTGTGTATCAACGGTTCTCAACTGGAGGTGTCAAGGTGTGGATTATTTGTTAAAGTGATTGTCTGCAGTTTGTCAGAAAGAGAGAGAGAGGTACGACCCAAGCTCCTCCCCCTTCCTTTCTGATTGGTCTAGGCCTATGTTTCCGTAACACATTTAAAAGTTAATCAGAGAGCACATTATACTTATACATTATTAACACACATGCACGGAGGTTTACAGAATTATCTGTTAACGTTTTCATGACAAAAAAAATGTTTTATTGCACAAAGAAAAGCGATCGCGGCAAACCCACTGATGATATTATCTTTTATTTCAGATTTATTCATAATATCACATCGTTAGCGGATCAGAAGTTTACATACATACATATTTGGTAGAAAGCTTTTAATTCAGTCTTAACGTTTTGAGCTGCCTACAGCCAGCTTCTGACAAGAGAAGGGTGGAAGTTTGGCCCATTCCTCCTCACAGACCTGATGCACCTGCAGCTTTGGCTCAGGGCGGGTGTGACCAACTACACCTGGACACTGGTCGTCCCGCTCCCTATGGACCAACGGCTCCGGTTATTATCTCATGTTTTCATCTGTTGTTGAGGAACTTTGTCTTTCGAGGCGACTGCTGTTGTGATTTATGGCTAAAGAAAATTATAAGCAACACACGACCGAGCACCAAGACTTTTACTGTGATTTAATGATCAGGAAATGTGACAAAACCTGAATGAAAAGTGTTTTTGCTGAGGTGAAGTGTGACGTGTCCGAGGTGAAGAAGAAGAAGAAGAAGTACCTGAGCTCGATCGATCCTGTAAAATCGGTCTGCAGTCGTGGCTGAAACACAAGAAGTCAATCATCATCAGTTCACACGACAGCCACAAACACACAGACGCCAAAACACAGGCGAGCCCATGAAACATACAGTACACTGCAGAAAGTGATGCAAAATGTGTTTAAAAAAGTTCAAATTTGGCTAAATGCATCTGGATTTGACCACATTTTGACTTAAAACCAGACAAAGCAAAGTGATCTAGTTTTAAAAAGATACAGAAATGTCTCCCTTAGAATGAGAAAAAGGCTAAATGGCTTTGTCCCGTTGTGCTCAAATTAAGATAAAAAACACTCAATTCAAGCATTTATTTCTTCATATTTTATCATTTTTTGCAGTGTACCATTTACCGTGTCCATAAAGGAGACCTGTGCTATACGTATAAACTATAGTTTCATGGAACATTCTTTCCTCTTAAAGTGAAACAGAACTGTGTATGTGTATGTGTGTGTGTGTGTGTGTGTGTGTATGTGTGTATGTGTGTGTATGTGTGTGTGTGTATGTGTATGTGTATGTGTATACGTGTGTATGTGTATGTGTGCGTATGTGTGTGTATGTGTGTGTGTGTATGTGTGTGTATGTGAGTATGTGTGTGTGTGTATGTGTGTATGTGTGTGTATGTGTATGTGTGTGTGTATGTGTTACAGCTCAGTGGGGGTCCTCATGCAGGTTCAAGGGTCTGTGGTTAGACGCCTGCTCAACTCCTGCCGTCGGCACAGGAGTGGAATAAAAAGTAAAAAAATGATTCTTCTGTTGAGGGCTCGGCTCCGCACAGGTTCCCAAAAGCCACAAAAGTGGAGCAAACTGCAGAAATAGTCTCCTTAAATATCCAGAGGTTTCCGAAGCACCTGCAGCATCAGGCACTTGATAAAGCTGCCGTTGGAACTTCAGGAGGGAGTTCTCTGAGGAAGTTACTGCCAAGGAGTTTGTCTAAAGTTAAGGGTGCACTTTATTCATCCCCTTTGACCCTGATGCCACCGGGGCGTCCATCAGGAGCAGTGGTCGCCGTAGTAACAGCGCCCAGAACCATCCACAGATGATGATGCTCTGGGTCAGGACCGGGGCTGGAGGATTTTACCTACTGTAATGTTTTTAGAGGACGGGGAAACCGGAGCATCCATCCATGTGCAAACATGTAGCTCCGCCCCTTCTGCCCAAGAAGCTCCTGTAATAGTAACAGTAACAGTGTCAAATCAACCATATATTGTTAATAACAAGTTCAGCCTGAAGGTTGTGGGTTTGAGACCACCACAAGACCTTCTCCACCGACTGCTGTTGTTGTGTCCTTGGGCAAGACACTTAACCCTACTTTGCCTGAAGCCCCCACTGAAAGATCAAGGCTCCTGTGGATCAGGGTGGGGCTGGTGCTGTGTGGACTGGGTGGACCTCCGACTGCCACCCCCCGACCCATTAAGGGGAAGAAAAGGGAGTTCATCCACAGCTGACGAGGGTCAGAGAAAGGATTCCACAGCACTTTAAAAAGTGCACATTGGCACTTCCTGAATCCTGCAGGCCAATTGTTAAAGCAGCAGAAGCAATGCATTTAAAATGAAAGCTATTAGTCTGCGATAGCACGGAGCTTTTCTGAAGAGGAATATTTGGTTAATCCCAAAAGGAAATTGTTTCGTTCCATTTCCTCATTATTAGAAAAGTACAGATGGATCAGAACTGAACTGAAATGACTTAACAAGTATCTCTGATCTGGGCACAGCCTCAAGATTTGTGATTTCTTTTGCTATAGAAAACTCCTGTTGAGATTTGGGGCTATAAAAAATACAAACTGAATTGAATGAAACATGGACACTCATTTGTACAATCCTGATTCTAAAATGATGATATCATTTGGTTTCACACTCACGGCGTGAATGTGCGAGACCGTGATTAGGGGCTAGCCAAACGGACAGCTGCTAATCGCTGCGACACATGCACGTGGCGCAGCGGCCCGAGAAAAGATTACTCATGTATTCATAATTCATCCATTTAGCTCCATTTAGGACTGGCTCGGCTGCTTTTGCCAGTCTGCGCTGGTATTTTTGGGTCGGGGGTATTTTTGGCTCGACTCGTGTGAGAGGGATGTCTGTGACGAAGGAAACAGGATGTTGATGTTTAGAGCTGGGGTTCTCAATGTGTGGGGCGGGGACCTCAGGGGGGGTGACATGGAAATTATACAGAGCAGGCAAAGCAATGGAACTGGGTTTAATGTCAGAGCTGATGCCATTTTCTTTATTTGTTCAAAAAGTTTTTTCCCATATTTGAGAATATTGTCTAAAAGCAGATTGGGCGAAGGAACACGCACAAAATTACATGTTTATTTTAAAAATAAAATAAACTACAACTACACACACCAATCTTCAAAATATTCAGAAATCCATCAATATCTTCCTCTTTATTCATTGCCGGGTGGCAGAGGCAGTAGTCTACGCAGAGACACACTCCTCCAGCTCATCTGGGGGAATCCTGAGGCGTTCCCAGACTAGCTGAGACCCTCTCCCCGTGGTCTCCTCCCGGACGAGGAGGAGACACCTCAATCGCCTCATCTCGATTTAAAGAAGCAGTGGCTCTACTCTGAGCTCCTCCCGTGGGACTGAGCTCCCCATCTTGACTTGGACTGATTGTATCCGTGATCTCGACCTTTCGGTCCTCATCGGTTTTGATCTGAAACCAACTTATAATGCAGCCCTAGAACCAGGCACTCTCGCTTTAGAATAATCAACTTGAAGCACTTTCCCATTTTTGTTTTTGTCCCATAGATTCTGAGAGAGAAGAACATCGTGTGACCAGCCATGATTGATTCCAGGATTGTTTACTCTACACCTGGCAACGCTGAACCCACATCCTGGGCCCTGGAGGACTCCTGTCATCTCGTCTGTTCTGTCTTTGGTAAATAAAGGCTTCCAAAGTGTCCTTGGGGGGCCTCCGTAACTGTAAAGATAATCATTATCATGTCACAGACGTGGACAAATTCACAGGCTCCGCAAGCGACAGCTGCATCGACCGGAGCGCGCAGAAAAGGCGGGACGTATGGATCACTGAAGTCCCCGAAGTCCCGGTGTTTCGGCTTTAACAAGTCCGGGTCGGGGGAATGTGAGGACGTGTGAAGCCCTGGGACCGGCCTTCGATCCAGGAAGTGTGAGAAGTGACTGCACAAAGCTGGTCATGGCAACGACGCGACAAAACAACAGCTGTGTCGAGGATGTACTGGGAGGTTGTGTGGTTGCCATGTTGTGTTGAGGGTGTACTGGGAGGTTGTGAGGTTGCCATGTTGTGTTGAGGATGTACTGGGAGGTTGTGTGGTTGCCATGTTGTGTTGAGGGTGTACTGGGAGGTGTGGTGACAGTTTTTGGAGTAATTACATTAAAACCAGCCGCAGCAAATACACGGACGTCAAAGGCCTTTTATCAATGCAGACGCCCTTCTGACGCCATGCTGAGCTTTGTGAAGGTCCCTGCTGTCTGTCACACCCTTGTGTCTTTCCGTCTTGCATCTGTATGACCTGCACTTCCACCATTGTCTGTCTGTTCACTGTGAGGTTGCCATGTTGTGTTGAGGGTGTACTGGGAGGTTGTGTGGTTGCCATGTTGGACGACCCCAAAGCAATTGATGTTTGAGAATGAGGCCAATTAAATCTTCCATTTGTTCACCTTTAATAAAAGAGTATACACACTGAACTGTTTGTGCTTCTATAATGGTCTGTGTCTCTGGTCTGTGTCTCTGGTCTGTGTCTCTGGTCTGTGTCTCTGGTCTGTGTCTCTGGTTTCTACACTCTCTCTGGTCAGCCTACATTCTACTATAGTACCCAGCAGTTTGATGAGGAACAACATGTCCTCACATCAGCTCAGTCTCTCTCTCTCTGGTCTCTCTCTCTCTGGTCTCTCTCTCTGGTCTCTCTCTCTGGTCTCTCTCTCTGGTCTCTCTCTCTGGTCTCTCTCTTACTGTTTGATGAGGAACAACCATGGATCTATAATAACTGGACAGAGTATAACTAGCTTACAGCTGTCCCACCGATGGGCACAGGGGGCGCTGTGGTACTGCAGACTAAATTAACGTGAGCTACCCGGAAAAAAGTCCCATAGAAGTAAGTAAGTAAGTAAGTAATGTTTATTTATATAGCGCATTTTACAGACCAAGGCCATCCAAAGCGCTTTACAATGTTCAGAGTTCGGATATTGTTCCAATCATTCCACACACGGTGATGATGGAAGCGAGTCGCCGAACACACTGGCGCATCAGCTCCCAATCAACACCATCCATTCACTCTCTCATTTACATTCATACCTATTGTGCAAAGAAAGAGATTGTGCAAGAAAAAAGTCCCATAGAACTCAATGTAAATTAAAACAGCTCGACTTCAGCTGACAGAGAACCTACAGCTTTCAGAAATATCGGATTTTGTGGGGATTTTAGTGTCCCTTGTCATCCTGAACTTTTTTTCTTCTTAAATCCTTCGGTTTTCTTTAAATCCACACTTTACTGCCACAAACGCTGCTCCTTTCCTTCCCGCTCCTGCGGCCGAGCCCCTCTAAGCACGTGCATGAGAGCCACACACACGTATTTGGCCCAAAGCATCATGGGAGGACCAGACGATGCCCAAATATGGACGAGTTCTGCTAATCTCCCGGTCTCTGTGAAGTCCCATGAACCACTGAGCACAAGCCGTTCATTTGAACAGGACGCCATCTTGGATCTCTGGGGCTTGGGAACAACATGTCCTCTATAGAAACTCATTCAAATCATATGCTTGGATTCTCTGCAGTGCACGGCGTTTATAAGACTTTCTCAGGCCTTTGTGACTCCTCGATACTGGTCACACAAAAGCATGTCTCCTGGTCGCACAAAAGCATGTCTCCTGGTCGCACAAAAGCATGTCTCCTGGTCGCACAAAAGCATGTCTCCTGGTCGCACAAAAGCATGTCTCCTGCTCGCACAAAAGCATGTCTCCAGAGTTGCATCAGCTCGTGTTCGTACGCCTCCATCCCGGAACGGCCTTTTGTCACGCCCGCTCCCACGCCGCCCTATACATCCCAAACCCCGACTATACGCAGACGCTGCAGGGCACTTACAGTCGAGGAAACACCAGGTGGGAGAGAGGCGCTGGTAACACACCGTCGTGGCTTCTTCCTGAAACATAGAGAGATAGAATTCAACACGGTTTGATCTTAATTACGAGCGGTAAAAGAACGAGCAAGAGTGAGAAAAACACAGACACACAATAGCATCATGCACCGGACACGCAGGAGGCTTTGTGTTCTGGACCGGCTTTGCGATTGGAAGACGGTCGAACCATAAAAGCAGATTTGTACGAGACGAACGGCTGGACACGCTCGGACACACACTGTTGTTGGATTTGTCTGTTTTTATTGGATTCTGTGCCGAGTGTGAGCCCAGGATTGGTCTGTTTGGACTGAGGCTTTGTCCAATGGTCGTCCTCATTTGACTGAAGAGAGAATGTCAGGAGGGATGGTCTCTCTCTCGTCTTTCTGTCTCTTTAGTCTCTTTCTCTCTGGTGTCTCTTACTGGTCTGTCTCTCTCTCCGTCTGTCTTACTGGTCTCTCTCTCACTAATTTCTCTCTCGCTAGTCTTTCTCTCTAGTCTCGCTCTCTAATCTCTCTCTCTAATCCCTCTCTCTAGTCTGTCTCTCTCTAGTCTCGCTCTCTCTCTAGTCTCGCTCTCTCTCTAGTCTGTCTCTCCCTCTGGTCTCTCTCTCTCTAGTCTCTCTCTCTCTCTAGTATGTCTCTCTCTAGTCTTGCTCTCTCTCTAGTCTGTCTCTCTCTAGTATGTCTCTCTCTAGTATGTCTCTCTCTAGTCTCGCTCTCTCTCTAGTCTGTCTCTCTCTAGTATGTCTCTCTCTAGTATGTCTCTCTCTAGTATGTCTCTCTCTAGTCTCGCTCTCTCTCTGATTTGTGAGAGCTACGGTTGATGGGAAAGCTGACTGGCGTTTTGACTGACAATAATTACTGTAGTTCCTGACCTCTGTCAATCTAAACGTTTCAGACTCTGCCCGGGCTAGAAAGACTCACAAAGATCATCTTTCTAGGAAAACAATAATAATTGTCTATGTAAAGCTTGAAAACTTTTGTAAATAATTAATCACCCATCCGCAGAACCTAATTAAAGTGGTAATTATTCCTCCCCAGCGCATTGCAGCGGTTCTGAAATTGTCTCCGTTTCCCACTCATCAGAGGAGAAACCCCTCTTCACAGAATCCATTAAAACCTGCCCATTATCGCGGCCAGCTTTGACGAACAATAAGTACTCCCTAATAAGTGAAACTCTTCCCACAGCGGCGCCGTCTCACGTCACGTCTGCAACGGGCGCCTTGTGATGTCACACGGCTTTCACATCAGCTCCAACTCTCCACTAAACTTATATTTTTAATATACTTAATAAAACTTTTTATTCTATATTTTGTTTCTCACTGGTCTCTTTCTGGTCTCTCTCTATGGTCTTTCTCTCTCTGGTCTCTCCCTCTAGTCTCTCTCTCTGGTCTGTCTGTCTCTCTTAAGTCTCTCTCTCTGGTCTGTCTGTCTCTCTTAAGTCTCTCTCTCTGGTCTCTCTCTCTGGTCTCTCTCTGGTCTCTCTCTCTGGTCTCTCTCTCTGGTCTCTCTCTCTGGTCTCTTTCTGGTCTCTCTCTCTGGTCTCTCTCTCTGGTCTCTGTCTCTGGTCTCTCTCTCTGGTCTCTCTCTCTGGTCTCTCTCTCTGGTCCCTCTCTCTGGTCCCTCTCTCACTCTCTCTCTCTCTGGTCTCTCGTTGGTCTCTCTCTGGTCTCTCTCTCTCTGTCTGGTCGCTCTATCTCTATCTGGTCTCTCTCTCGAGTCTCTCTCTCTGTCTGGCCTCTCTCTCTCCATCTGGTCTCGCTGCGGTCCCACTCTCTCTCTGGTCTCTCTCTCTATCTGGTCTCTCTCTGCGGTCCCACTCTCGCTCTGGTCTCTCTCTCTCTGGGCTCTTTTTCTCTGCTCTCTCTTGGTCAAAAACTGCGCATTCTGAATAAGTTTAAACTAGATTTTGAAATGTCTCTGTTGGAATGAGAACTAAAATGCAAGTTTGATGATATTGTTTTGACATAACTCTGCTGCGAGTGATTAAGAAAACATGCTAGAGCCTCATTAAGAGAGCGCCAAGACAAGACTGACTCATGAAACAACACACGAGTGATGTCACATAAAATAATCAATATCAATTATTTGTCACGATTCATTTCCTCAGGACCTGGAGAGGATTCAACTGCAACAAGGGACATACTGTAGGTTATTTACACAATCCTCCCCTTTGTGTGTGTGTGTTAATGTGTGTGTGTGTGTGTGTGTGTGTATCATTAAATATTATTTCATTTGACATTTGAATATTGAAACAGTTTTACAGAATATTTACCTTAAATATTCTGCACATTTGTTCTTTCCAAAACTCACACTGACTTTATGAATGGGACTAATGGAGAGAGCTATGACATCACTATATCCACCCGCGGTGCATGGCCCTTACCCGCTCCTAAAGCTCAGGTCTGTGGGTTTATGGCTGAGTGGATGTGAGACGGTCGGTTCTAAAGCTCAGGTCTGTGGGTTTATGGCTGAGTGGATGTGAGACGGTCGGTTCTAAAGCTCAGGTCTGTGGGTTTATGGCTGAGTGGATGTGAGACGGTCGGTTCTAAAGCTCAGGTCTGTGGGTTTATGGCTGAGTGGATGTGAGACGGTCGGTTCTAAAGCTCAGGTCTGTGGGTTTATGGCTGAGTGGATGTGAGACGGTCGGCTCTAAAGCTCAGGTCTGTGGGTTTATGGCTCTATCTGACTCTTCTTTGATGCAGAGGAATGGAGAAGGAGGATTTTTAAATAAATGTCTTTTGTGGAGTGTTTTCTTTGACATGGACAGATTCAGATCAGACTTCACAAGCGTCACATCCTCAGCGGGACGGTATCTTTGTAACACACACACTAATACAAACACACACACACACAGCTCATGCATTATGCAACACAAGCAGAGTGGGAACCTGGAAGTGTAGTGAGAGCCGTTTACAGCAAAGATAAAGAAGAAGCAAAATCCAGGTTTTTACACAGAGCCAAGGCCAAAGTCGCCCGTTTTCAACAAAAATGCTAATATTGTGAATGTTTTTCTGCATCTATGACATTTTCAGTGTGATCCTTGTCGGAAAAACAGTAAGTACGAAATATCTGCACTGTCTTTAGAAGGACTTTAAACAGATTATTAATTGTTATGATAAATCATTTCCACCAGCACATTTGTATTCCATACCCTACTCTACTCTACCATACCCTACTCTACCATACCATACCATACCCTACTCTACCATACCATACCCTACTCTACCATACCCTACTCTACCATACCATACCATACCCTACTCTACCATACCATACCCTACTCTACCATACCCTACTCTACCATACCCTACTCTACCATACCCTACTCTACTCTACCATACCCTACTCTACCATACCCTTGACTGGAGCCGTGTATTTGCAAGAATGCTTTGGGCTCTGTGACACAGAGGAGCGCGACAGACCGGTATGTGTGTGTGTACAATACATGTATGTATGTGTGTATATGTCTGTGTGTGTGTATATGTAAGCTATGTGTGTGTGTGCAATACATTTATGTATGTGTGTGTAAATATAAGCTCCAATGTAGTTCTGACCCGCACCAGTGTGCAACTAGCAGACGGTAACACAGGGGAGAGATGATGCGTGTGGATGTTACGTGTCAATGGAGAGGGGGGGGGGGGGATGTGTGTGTGTGTGTGCGTGTACATGTGTGCGTGCATATGTGGCGCGTACGGCAGAGTTTACTGTTACATTGGCGCACACAGCTAGATAGGGACCCGCTCGTCACATCGTGCAAATAGGGCTTAAAATAGCGTTATGAAGAGACCTCCCCTCTCCCCCTTTTCTCTTTTTTAACCGACAGCTTTGACCGGTTAACGCTGTGACGGTCAACCACCGGTTAAACGGTCACCAATTTACATCCCTAGTCCTGACTAGAACCAGGAAGTACGACCACATTAGTCCAGTCCTCAGGTCTCTGCACTGGCTTCCTGTGGCTCAGAGAATAGACTTTTAAACAGCTCTGCTTGTTACAAGTCTCTCCATGGCCTCGCGCCAAAATATATTAGTGACATGTTAGTCCCATATGAACCAGCCCGGACTCTGAGGAGCACAGGGACTGGACTCCTGCTGGGACTCTGAGGAGCACAGGGACTGGACTCCTGTTGGGACTCTGAGGAGCACAGGGACTGGACTCCTGCTGGGACTCTGAGGAGCACAGGGACTGGACTCCTGTTAGTGCCCAGAGTCAGAACTAAACATGGGGAGGCTGCTTTTCAGATTCATGCTGCTAAAATCTGGAACAGTCTTCCTGAAGATGTGAGACAGGCCTCCTCTCTGACAATGTTTAAAACCAGGTTAAAGACAGTTCTGTTTAACTGTGCTACAACTGAGGGATTTTATATTTTTATCTTTCTTTTTAATGTTCTGTGATAATTTATGATTTTAATGCTTTCTTGTTTTGTTCAGCACTTTGAATTGCCTTGTGTATGAATTGTGCTATATAAATAAACTTGCCTTGCCTTGCCTTACTCTACTCTACCATACCCTACCATACCCTACTCTACTCTACCATACCCTACTCTACTCTACCATACCCTACCCTACTCTACCATACCCTACTCTACCATACCCTACTCTACTCTACCATACCCTACTCTACTCTACCATACCCTACTCTACTCTACCATACCCTACTCTACTCTACCATACCCTACCATACCATACCATACCCTACTCTACCATACCCTACTCTGCCATACCCTACTCTGCCATAACCTACTCTGCCATACCCTACTCTGCCATAACCTACTCTGCCATAACCTACTCTGCCATAACCTACTCCACCATACCCTACTCTACCATACCCTACTCTTCCATACCCTAATCATTTTGGTCATAATCTACGCTAAATAATGAGCAAATCTATGTTATACTTTAAAACATAAATATTATAAAAGTATAAAAGTAACAGTAAGAAGCACTCGTAGTTCATGGGTTCGAGGCCCCTGCTTCAGAAGGTTAGAGGAACTATGTAAATGTTATTACTGTAGATTAGGGCTG